TTTCATGCGTATCATTTTTTAAGTAGATGTATAGTGGCCCAAGTAGGGAGGTCATACAGCACAAAATACTTAACTTGTCCCTTACTGTTACCTGTTCAGATTTTTCTATTTTCACTATTATCAATAACACTCTGATGAACATTTTTGTATGTAAATATTTACATCTGATTATTTATTTCCCTTGGCTATATTCTTTTTTTTTTTTTTTTGAGTTAAATCATCAGTTATTTATTATCACCCAGACAAATAAGAAAAGCAATTGCTTGGTAGATTTCAAGTATTCACAGTTTTTTATTTATTTTATTTTATTTTATTGTACTGTATTATGTTCAGTTAGCCACCGTATAGTACATCATTAGTTTTTGAAGTAGTGTTCAACGATTCACTAGTTGCGTATAACACCCAGTGTCAGCACAACAAAAAAGGATTTTATTTATTTGACAGAGAGAGGGAGAGAGAGCACAAGCAGGGGGAGTGGCAGGCAGAGGGAAAGGGAGATGCAGGCTCCCCGCTGAGCAGGGAGCCTGATTAGGGGCTCTCCATCCCAGGACCCTGGGATCATGACCTGAGCCGAAGGCAGACACTTAACTGACTGAGCCACCCAGGTGCCCCCTCCCTTAGATATATTCTTAAAAGCGGAAATAATTAGTCAAAGAGTACAGACACTTTTTAAGATTTCCTGGAAAAGTTCTATTACTTTACATTCTTATCAACAGACTGAGGCACTCCCTCGTTAGCAAATATTATCAGTTTTTAAAAATTCTTGCCAACTCAGCTTAAAAAAAAAGTAACTCATTGTGTCAATTTGCAAATCTTTGATTACTTAAGTTGAATATACAGCATTTCATGTTTTTTAGCCATTTTTACTTCCCTCTGTGAGTTTTCTGTTAGTGTCCTTTGCCGGGCAGACTGTTAATAGTGGCCCCAATAATCCTAAAGTTGTCTGCAGATGATGCCAAATCTTGCATTTAGCCACATCTGATAGGAGGCCAGGCTCCGGCAGGATTAGAAATTGTCCGTGTCAGCATTGCTGTTTCAATGAAACCAGAAAGGGGAAAGTTACCATGTTTTATTGGAATCTGGGAGATGAAGTTATTTTGCTGAGCTGCATCTATTATTTTATTATGCCTTCTCTTCTTTTCATACTCCCAAAGATTCTCTTTTCTTAAATTCTGCTCTTATAGGAGGGTAAAATTTCATGTGTATGTGTCCTTTTTTTCAGTATGTGTTCATCTTACTATGTGCGACACATAGTGGCCCCAGCAGGGGATGGAGGAGTGTCAAGAAGAGTCTGGGCTTTGGAGCTGGGTAGATCTTGGGCAAATCCCTTCACCTCTCAGAGGCTCAGCTTCCTGTTCTTTCAAGTATGAGGACAGCCCTATCTTTGGGGAATAAATATGTTATGAATGCAAAACTCCTAGGACAGTGTTTGCCACTTGGTAAGACTCCATTTAGTTCAACAAATAGTTCCTTTTTTTTTTTTTAGCTTTATTTATTTATTTGAGAGAGAGAGCGTGTAGGGCAGGGGGTGAGCAGAGGGAGAGGGAGAGAGAGATACGGGGCTCTATCCTACGACCCCGAGACCACGACCTGAGCCGAAACCAAGAGTCGGCTTGCCCAACCCACTGTACCACCCAGGTGCCCCTCCACCAACAATCCTTGAGCCACTCCTGCGTATATGACATCATGCTGGGTGCGGAGTATACAAAGAGGAATCAGATGGGGCACTTTACAGCATCTCCATTGCCTACAGGAGAAAGTTCAGGCTGCTCATCTGCTCTGACAAGGTCCTCTCTGGCCCCAGCTGTTCTGTGGCCCCTCATTATTAAGTCTAGTGGCCCCGTGTGTCATGGGCGGGTTGTCAGCTCTCCTTAGAGCCCTGGGTCTTAGCCACAGTTCTAGAGCAACAGGAAAAGTGCCACATAGAGTTACAGCTATAATTGTCGCCCCTCTTTTCTTCTTAACATTATATCATAAGCATTTTCCCTTTACAGCGTAATTGTTAAGGGAACTACTGGAGCTGGCGAGCCTCAGTTTGATTTCTCTCTCTATCACTTACTAAGTGACCTTGGGCAAGTGGCTTAACCTCTCTGTGCCCTAGTTTCCTTATCTATAAAATAAGGATAATAATAGTGCCTACTTCCTGGGGTTCTTTTTTGGATTAAACAAAATATTTTATGTGTAGCTTTTAGTGTAAAGTCTAGCACACAGTAAGAGCTCAATGATCTATTTTGAATATTTAACTATACTGTCTTCAGAGTCACCCTTACAATGACTTTATATGATTAAATTGAACAGACGTAATAATACCTTTGTCTGATACTGGATATTTAAGGTGTTTCTGATTTTTTTAATTTTTTAAAAAAATTTTCTCCCCTCCTGCCAGAGAATCTCTGATCTAGCACATCTTAGGACCAGCCCAGCATTTTTCAGCTATCACTTGCGGATAGCTGGTAGGGCAACTGTCAGGCCATGTCACCTGTTGGGAAAGCTATGGGGAAGCTATGACGCAGAGGATTTTGTTGTGATCCTTCAGCCTCCAAGGCTCAAAGTTAGCGTTGCTATAATGGAAAAACAAACCTACACAGGTCGAGCACCTTCTGTATGCCAGGCTCTGTGAAAACATTCTCTTCAATCCTCAGCTCAAATAAGTGAGACAGAATTTATTGACCCCACTTTATAGATGAGAACACTGAGACTCAGAGAGGTAAAAGATTTCCTCCAAGGTCACACATCTGGCAAAGTCATGAGCCAGATCTGTCTGACTCTAAAGTTATGAGCTCTTTCCATGGCACCACAGGATCTCTTTTCAATTTAATTCAATTTTATCAGCATGGATTAGTGCTCACACGTTATTACCCCTGCTAGGCACTAAGAACAAAGAGAACAGCCTAATGGGAGAGACAAACACATAAATTGCAAGTTCTAGTATTAAGGCTGATGCATGCCTGTGAGAAGTAAAAAGCCGGGTGGGCAGTTCCATTTATCCTGTTGTATATATTTCTGAAAGCCATTCTTAATCCTTTTAGGAGAGACAGGGGAGAGATAGATTGATAGATTGGGACTATAATCAATGAATAAACCCCAGGGCCATGGGCAAATGGGAAGGGAGTGTTTAATTCCCACTCAGAGATCCAGGGAAGTTTCTTAGAGGATATGGTATTTTGGTTGGGGTTTGAAAGGCTAGGAAGAATCAGCAGGAGGACATGGGGAAGGGGCTGACCTGTCCACCTCCTTCCCCAAGAGAAGTAAAAACAGACTCTTGATTTCCCCTTGCTAAATGTTGGTCTGAAACCAGAACACCTACACACACCCCTCTCATTTTGCAGTCCTCTTCCATACATAGACACATCTACCAACACACACCCATATACACAAATAAAAAGAAACAAACCCTGCAGAAAATACACATAAAACATACACCAGTACGTGTGCAGATACTTAAAACACACAATACACAAAAATAGACACTAGCTCTCATAAACTCACACAAATACATATCATACTTACACACACAGACTCACAAAGATGTTTATGCTCTCATCCACAAGCGTGTACACATCCTCTCCCCACCTACTACTCAGGCAGGTGAATAAATGCATTTTTAAATTAACATATACCCAAGTTCACATACAAATCTCATCCTGCCTTTCTGGTTGGAGGACAGTGACTAATGGGAAACCATGCACAAAGGCAAGCATCACGTAGGAGAGGCCAGGAATGGGTTGGCGTCAGGGCTGGGATTAAGCCCTGTCAGATGACAAACCCGTCCCGCCTGGCTCTCCCTAGAAGCTGCAGCGCCTGAGCAGGCTCTGGATCCTGGGCAGATGGTGCGAGGCTGCGCGTCGGAATTCCAGCTTTATAAAGGGTTTGGTGTCACGGGGGGCCAAGCTCTGCTATCAGACCCACCCCAGTCCCTGCAGTAGGCAGGAGGCTGGGGACACTTCAGGGCTGTGGCGTGGGGCTTGTCCGAACCCAGTACACTGCGAGTAGTTAGCATTAAGGAGGGTTTACTGCGGGCCGGGGACTGGGTTAAGCTCTTTCAGTACATGACTGAATTCTCACATCATCTCTGTGACAGGAGGTGTGGGGGTGTTCCGTGTCTATCATGCCCATTTTAGAGGTGAGAAAACTGCGCTCAGGCCACAAAACCACTCAGCAGGAAACAGGACGCTGAGGTTCAAACCCCGTCGGAGCCTATTCTCCTCTGGGGATGGGTTGGGGGTGCGGGGTCAGAGTAAAATGTGCACGTGATTCTGTCTCCACTATACAGGAAGCTTGCACCTTCGGCTCCGGGCGGGTCTCTAGTACTCCCGTCCTGCCCGGCACAGCGCCGGGGCCTACAGCAGGTGTCTGGTCCGGGCGTGGGTCTTGGCTCAGTGGCGCCTTCAGCATGGGCCTCAGTTTCCCCATCCCTGAAATGGGAATGGCAGCGCAGACCTCGCAGGGCCGAGGCCAGGCTTTCTCGGGCAGCACAAGCAATGCTGAGCTCTACATGCTCGCTGCTGCCGCCCTCGCCCATTGCGGGGGTTCCAGCCCAGTCTCCACCGGAGCCCGGGTGCGGCGCCGGCGCCCCATTGTTCAAGAGGGCGGGGAAGCTCCCGAGAGCGGATTCCCCGCCCCGGGTCGCGCTAGCCGCCCAGTGGAGCAGACGACTTGGCCCGGCGTTTGCCGCGCGGGGCGCGTCCTTTGTCTGCTCCGCGTCGCCCGATGCCCGCGGCCCGCGCCCCACTCCTTGGGCAGACAAAGCCGGAGCTGCCGCGAGCCCGAAGGGCTGGAGAGGGGCTCGTACCACCCTCCTCCCGCCTTAACACCGCCCCCTCCCCTCGACGCCCTCTGATTGGTCCGCGGAGCTACAGAGAGGCCGGGAAGCGGGCGGGTCACGTGGGCCAGCGTGGCCTTCTATTGGTCGGGCGAGGCTGCCAATCGGGGAGGGCGGGCTGTCCGCGCTCTGCCCGGTCGCTCCCTCCGCGCTGGGGCCCGCCCGCGGGGCCGGCCGCCTGTCAGAGGGAGGTGGCGATGGTGCGCCCGGTGGCGGTGGCGGCTGCGGCGGCTTCCCTGGTCCGAGTGCAGGGAGGAGAAGATGACTGACCGACCGACTGAATGACTGAATGAATGAATGGCGGAGCCGAGCGCGCCATGAGGAGACTGCCGAGCCTGGGCGCCCTCGCCCTGTTGTGCTGCGCCGCCGCCGCCGCCGCCTCAGCCTTCGCCTCAGCCGCCGCCGCCGCCGCCGCCGCCGCCTCAACAACCTCGGCGGGGAATGTCACCGGTGGCGGCGGGGCCGCGGGGCAGGTGGACGCGTCTCCGGGCCCGGGGCTAGGGCGCGAGCCCAGTCGCCCTTTCTCTAAGGTGACGACTCCCACGGCCCAGGCCCCGAGGACCGGAGCGCCGCGCACTACTGTCCACCAGCCCCTGGCTGCGTCCTCGTCAGCCCAATCCCCGGAGACCACCCCTCCTCGGGCGACGGCTGGACCCGCCGCGACCACCTTCCAGGCGCCGCTCGGCCCCTCGCCGACCGCCCCTCCGGCGGTGGACCGTACTCCGACCACCCCTCGCGCGACAACCAGACCCGCGCCGACCACCCTCTCGACGAGCACTGGCCCGGCGCCGACCACCCCCGTTGCGACCACCATCCCGGCGCCCACCACTCGGCTGAGCCCGACCCCCGAGCTCCCCGGCGGCAGCAGCGTCCCGCCCACCCCACCTGCCACCGAGGCCCCCTCTCCCCCTCCCCCAGGTGAGTCCCCGCGCCCCTCGCCGGCTGCACGCAGCCCCGCGGCTGCCTCCAGGGTTGGGCTAGTGCCCGGAATTGATCATTCTTCGCCCCAAAGTTTCCCCGGATTTCGACTCCCAAGGGGGAGGTCCGAGCTCCAGCTCGCCCGCACCCCGTTCCCCAATCTGGAAAGTCTTTTGTCCCCCCTGGGCTGGGCTTCCCCGGGAGGGGTGCGGCTGCGGTGTGGAAGGCATCGTATCTCTTTCCAAACGGGGCTTTCTGGCCTTTGTCAGAGACCCTGAATGGGCGCAAACTTTTGGGTTCGGTTCGTTCACCCTGCCTCTCCGCCTGGGTTATTTCGGGAAGTTTGAAAGCCAGAACAGTACCTCGTTCAACCAATGGGTCAAAAACTGAGTATAAGGGATTCCTTCCAAAGCTTCCGTCTCCTTGTTAATTTCTCCGTGTGTGTGTGTGTGTGTGTATAATGTGCATATAGATATAATGTGCATTATATATGTATATATAAGATGTGCATGTGACCGGTGGAAGAGATAGTGAGGATTTTGTTTACCACTGTAGGACAGACCAGCTGAGGCAAAAAAAAAAGACATTGTAATCCATGTTTTCCCTGCAAATAAGTGAATTCAGTAGGTCATTTGGGACAGGTGTGTATCTAGGTTGAGCATGCCTATAAATTAGGTTAAATCCCTTCCTTGCACCATTTTTTTTCTTTCTCACTTACAAGGTCAATATGTTTGGACAAATAAACAATTTAAGCAGGGATGCCCATTTTCTCCTCCTTAAGTTAGAATGTTCAGTTTGGAGGATGCTGATAAATGCCAGTATCTGTTTTGAGTCCACATAGAAAATAGGCTCTTCTTCCTGCTGATTGAAGTCTTCAAGCAAAGTTAAAGACAACTCCTAATTCTTGTCTCCTTTTAATCTAAAGTGGGCCTGGAACTAAACAAATAAAAACTATCTTGTCAAGACATTAGACAAGAGTTTCTGAATTCCTTTGCCAAAGTTGGGCTGGAGATTTGTCCAAACTATTTGCCAAGCTGTACTTACATTAATGGATCTCTGACCTAATTATTAGGCTCAGTGATTTGCTGTAGAGTCAGGTATGGACTTTGGACTATAATTGAATTTGTAGAGAGTTTTCCCACATGATTATGAGTCTTAATACAGTTTTGAATCTTGGGTTGGAGCATGGCATTAACATCAGTAGGAATGCAGATTATTCCAACCATAAAAAGCTAAGTTTGCATCTCTTCTAGCTTGAAGGAGTATATAAACTAGCTGGATTTTGACTGTAACCTTTTTTGGCTTTGGTATAGAAAGATTGTCATATTACTAAGAGACAGGAAGCATAGTGGTTGAGAGTATGGACTCTGGAGTCCATTCTTAGGTTTGAATCCTAGCTCTGCCCCTTATTAACCCTGTAATCTTGAGCAGGTCACTTAACCTCTCTTCAGCTGTGAAATGAAGATAATAATAGTACTTACTTCATAGGATTGCTGTGAAGATTAACTAAGTTAATACATTTATGGTGCTTAGAACAGTTCCTGGTCCAGAATAAGCACTTTGTGTGTGTTAGTTATCCTTATGACTACAATTTTTTTTTGAGAAACCTAGTAGTAACGTGATGATTTCTTAGTTGTTGTTGTTGTAGTAAAATATAATAGAAAAAGGATGAATTAAATCTTCCAGAGTTTGAAGCACACAGTAGCATTTAAGTAGTAGCAAGATCACTCATTTTGAATGGTTAGTATATGATAAATAAGTCCATGTAATTGATATTATTTTAACTTTATTATTTTTGTATTGTTATTTTTAAATCACAAAGTTAACCTTTCTTCCAAAAAAATACAAACAACCAGAAGTCTACAAAGGAAAAAGTGAAAGTCACTCCTTTACTGCTTCCTAGTTCCAGTCAGTCCCTAGAGGTTACTACTGTTAACAGTTTGATCTCTTTTCAGACATTTTTCTGGACGTATATGAACATACATACACAGACGGTTTTTAAAAATAGTTTTTAAAACTCAAAATACTTCTACACATACTGTTTTACAGCTTGCTGTATTCACTTAACTATATATTGGGAATTTTTTTTCCATGTCCATACTTAAGATCTACCTTATTCTTCTTTTAACAGTTGCATTTTTTGGTATAAGAGTAATATAATTTTTTAAACCAATTCCTTATTTATGGACATTTAGATTGCTTCTGGGATTCAGTTTAAAAAGCACAGAGAAGAATGTGTTCTTGTTAAGCCCATCATGGACATATTCTCCAATACTTCAGCTGGAGTTTCAAAGAATCCAATTTCAAGTGAAGTAAAGCTGGATTGATTAATATGTGCCATCTGAACTGTTCAAGGCTTTAGTAACTTCCATGAACTAACATATACCTATGTCTATCATGGTCTTTGGGTGACAAAAGTTTTAGAAGGCTGTCCAACTTTGGTAGCTGTTCTGTGTCTTAAATTTAACACAGTTCTTACTTTTTTTGTGTGAATTCACTATGGATTGCCTATGTCTAGTTCTTAGCAGCTGAACTGAACTTTGTGGGCCTGTTGATACGTAGTTTTGGCTTTACAGTATGATATAATCAAGGATGGCCTTTTTATCTGAGCATGTGTTCTAGTCTACTTCAAGCAGTACACACATCTCTTTGACAGAAGGAAAGCTTCCAGCTGATCTTGAGAGACCTAGTTTGACTTGCAGAGTTGGATTCTCTGGCATTGGGAAGATGGTTGTACTGGGTAATATTTTAATGTTCCTGTAAGGACTGAATGCCATTGATAATATGTGATTAGATGGGTCTTCTAGCTGCTCTTTGATTTAATAAGAATTTCTTTCATAGAGGTCTAGCTGAGAGCTCTTGCCTGCCCCTCAATTAGGGCCCTCTTTTGTTTATAAGGACACTGATCTGCAAACTGAAACTAATTGCCCAGCAAACAGGCACTTTCCTCCCCCAGACTTGGCAAAACATTTGGCTGATTGGTTGGCTGGGTAGGCCATTTTAAGAAGAGTTAAGGAAGAGGCTGTGATGCCAGAGGATGGTGGTTACAGGCAGTAAGACACTAAGGTGATGACAAGTGTTCGATTTTTTAAACTATGGACCTTTAGGGCTAGATAGGACTTTAGAAGCCACTACCTCCTAGCGTGGCTCTACATTTTAAGAAATACTTCCAAGAGTTAGCTGAAATCTTTCTCTCTGTTGTTAACACCTACTGGTTCTGGTTCTGCCCTTCGGAGCCATGTGGAACAAGTCTGCTCTCTCTGTGCCATGATAATTCTTCAGGGGCTTGGGGATAGTGATCGTGTTCCCTCTGAGTCTGGACTAAATAACTTTAGCTCCCTCAACTGTTCTTTATGTGACAGGGTTTCACATTCCCTCACTGTCCTCTTCTGGACTTTTTCAGTCTTTCTGCGTCTCTCCCAAAGCGTGGAGCACAGAGCTCAACATAATACTCCAGATATGCTCTAACTAGCTTGCGGTAGAGAGGGCAGTTACCTCGTTCCTTCTGGATGCTATGCTACTGTTGATGTAGTTAGTTCCTAATCACAGTAGTGTTTTTGGCAGCCACATTATGTTGTTGACTCATTGAATCCATTAAGATAGCTAAGCCGTTTTTTTTTTAAAAAAAACAAAACATGTACTAGATGAGTGTTTCTTCATTCCGGACTGGGAAATTCTTGTTATTTTCTAAAGTATGAACTGAGACATTTGATGTATTGTGTTAGATTCAAGCCATCCTTTTAGATCCCAAGTCTGTTAGCATACCCCACCCAGTTTATTCACATGCACCTACAGGGTGTTCCTATAGACAGAGTCTAAGGACAAGTTAGAGCAGGTTATTCTTACCTCATAGAGGAGAGTAAATTTATGGATGATAAAATAGTTTGGAAGGGAAGGAGTAATAGTTTAGTTCTCAAGGGTCTCTTCTAGCTTAAAAGTTCTGTGATGATTTGGTATGCATGATTCAGGGCACATTAATGCCCCCAAAGAGACTTAATCACTTATTTATGATGTAAATTAAGAGAATAGGCTTTGTTTAAGCAAACCTTAGAATTTAGAGCTTGAAAATTCTGACTAGTATAACATGTAAATAAAATATCGTGAATGGATTTTGTTTGAAAGGAACATTCTGGGAATGCAGGGCCCTTCTAACTGTACCAGGTAATGTTTTCTTTTTTCCTTTTTTTAAAAAATTTTTTTTTATTATGTTATGTTAATCACCATACATTACATCATTAGTTTTTGATGTAGTGTTCCATGATTCATTGTTTGCATATAACACCCAGTGCTCCATGCAGTACGTGCCCTCTTTAATACCCATCACCAGGCTAACCCATCCCCCCACCCCCTCCCCTCTAGAACCCTCCATTTCTCAGAGTCCATAGTCTCTCATGGTTCATCTCCCCCTCTGATTTCTCCCCCTTCATTTTTCCCTTCCTACTATCTTTTTTTTTTTTTTAACATATAATGTATTATTTGTTTCAGAGGTAGAGGTCTGTGATTCAACGGTGTTACACAATTCACAGCGCTCACCATAGCACATACCCTCCCCAATGTCTATCACCCAGCCACCCCATCCCTCCCCACCCCACTCCAGCAACGCTCAGTTTATTTCCTGACATTAAGAATTCCTCCTACCGGGTAATGTTTTCTTCATCCTAAAATTCTCTGCTCTAGGTACAGAGTGTTATTTGCTTGTGGTTATTTAAGAAGATATCATTTGTTTTAGGGACATAGAAGTTGTTCAGGCTCCAGAGATAATGTAGGTCCACTATCTTTTATCCAAAACCTGTGGGGCTGGATGTGTTTCCGAATTTAAGTTTTTTTTCTGGATTTTAGGAAGTTAATAAATATACCCCAATGAAGTCTGGGGCAGCATCCTATGATCAAATACATGAAGATATTTGCAGCAAAATGCATGTATATTTACAGTGAGTGGGATAAATAAAGACTGTAAATAGCCTTGCATATGTTTGGGTCAGGTTTTGCTGCCAAATGAG